ATGATGGAAAAATATGGTATTCTCCAAAACTGTTAGATCTGTATTTAAAAATAAACAACTCAATTTTTTATTGCTAATATAATTGACAAAAAATCAGATCCCATTAACCAAGCTAAAAGACATACAGAAGTCATTTATAGAACATTATCTATTATTGATATATGCAATAATTCTGAGGATATTTGGTAAACTCACAACTTTAAAGTCTAAACTCACCAAATTACTAAATAAATGTAAAGATCAGGAAGTATGTACTGTTATAGCAAACTTTCTAAATGTAAGTACAATATGGTACAATATGGATGATTTGGGACTTGAATTTGAAAGTTAAAAAATGAACTAATGCTACATCTATGATAATTGTATAAAATATATTCCCAAATCAAATCAGGTGGCAGTACATTACCTGATTTCCAAAAAGTAAAAAGAAAAAAGCAAGGTTAGATCTTGCTAGTACTTGGGCAAGAGATCACCAGGAAACCCTGGTGGTACGCTAGAGTAGGAAGTTGAAAAAATGCCTCCAAAATCACATGAATGTGATCAGGAATTAAGAATTATTTTCAGAAAACTGCCAGCCCCCCCCCAGAATAGCATAGACTAGAAATCACCAACAATGTTCTAGAACATTCTAGATCCAAAATGGAGCCTTTTGCACATCCCTATTATACTAGGAAATGTACCCAAAATGCCTAATTTTCATACAAACTTGGAAAAAGATACTCAGGATTACCTAGAGATAAGAAAAATAAGAAACCAAAAATTGGTTAGACTTACCCATTACTACTATGAGCTTTCAAGCTTAGACATAAGCATTACTTTGGAGAATTGTAATTTGGGAACTGGCTCTTAGATGTTATTTGCTAACTATACAGTCAAGAATTATTACCCACCTTCTTTAACTCTTCCTGGATGCACTTGCTATTGCTTTCTGAAGCTAAGCCTGATTTCTGGTTCTCATTTGCTGTTCTTGACTCTGATATCTCCTCCTCTGAAGAAGTTTCTCTACTATTTTCCATTTTTGTGGATAGTTCAGATAACCTTGCCTTCCTCTTTTCTTCCATAGGGTGCGTCTTAGTCTGCTGATTTTGGTCATCACAGCTGATGTCAGTTTTTGAGAAATCATCAAATACCTTAAGTAATTAAAAACAAAAAGTAAAGGGTTAAATCAATATATCTCAAAAAGAAAACAGTCAGAGAAAGAGGGGGGGAAAGTGGCACATAAAAGAGCTATTTATATAACAAGAGAGCAATACAGGTAACATTCTGATAATTGCAGCATAATAAATTTATAAGGAAAAAAATGGCTTTCAATTTTAAACAGCATGCATTCAATTTTCTAAACAATAAATATTCTCAGTCCCATGTTTGGTTTTTCAACTTAGCCTTTAAGCTCTTTATGATATCTTTCATATCCAATTCACCAGGACAGAATATGAACATTTTGTTGCTAGATACTGTAGAAGAAGAATTTTTATTATGATCATTGACCAGAATTGCAAACATAAACACATTAAAAATAAAAATAAAAACAAAACAAGATAAAATATTACAATTGTTGGTGGGTTCATCAGTGGACAATCAAAGTCTACTTAATTTTACAGGCAGTATAACAAAATTTAGCTACATTCAAGGAGACTGAATCATACTGATCTGATAACAACTGAACATAAAAAAAGATCAGAATTTCCTGGTGTTTTTCCAGGTAAAGAGTTATAAGGAGGGTCCTTAAATCCTTATAGAGGGTAGAGTATATTTCAGGCATACTGAAAGCATTGAAATAATATATAACCATCAAAGTTCAGAATGGGAAACAATAGTCCTTTACTGCCCTTAATGGCTAAGGCACCTTAGCAAATGTACACCAACATATATTGGGATTAACTAACACCCTGGCCCAATACTTGGGGAAAAAGCCAGGTCTTCATAGCTTTCTGGAAGGGCAGCAGGTTTAGGGCTCTCTGAATCTCAGAGAGGAGGGTGTTCCACAGGGCAGGTTCTGTGACAGAGATGGCACATCTCCCAGGTTCCACCAGTTGACTTTCTTTAATAGAGAGTACCTGGAGTGTGTCTGCCTTGTCAGTTCTGGTTGGATGAACAGAAACCTGCAGGGAGAGGCAGTCCAACAAGTAATCTGACCTGTGCCATGCAGAGCTTTAAAGGTGATAACCAGCATCTTGAATCACACCTGGAACCATATGGGGAGCCTGCAGAGTTTGTGCAACAGTGGTATAACATGGGTGAAACTTGGTGCACCCAGAACTGCAAGCGCTCCTGCATACTGGACCAGCTGAAACTTCTGAGTGTTTTTCAAGGGCAGCCCATCTGGAACACACTGAGTAGTCCAAATGGAAGTGACCAACACATGAGTGACTATGGGCAGAGCTTCCCAGTCCAGTAATACGTGCAATTGGCATACAAGATAGATTTGTATAAAGGCCATGGCTGCCAACTGGTCTTTGAGCAGGAGCTGTGAGCCCAGGTGGATTCCCAAGTTGTGCATCAACTTTGCCCTGGGGAATGCTACCTCATCAAGGGTTAAAGATTGGGCTCTGGATCCAAGGACCCCCCAAACCCAAAGCCACTCCATCTTCCTAGGGCTGTTCTTCCCTATCCAGACCCTCACAGCCTCCAGGTATTGGGTAAGCACCCTGAAAGCATCACTTGTCTGCCCAGGGGTGGAGCTGCATAAAGTACTATCAGCATCCTGATGCTCTTTCATCCCTTGCCAATGAATGACCTCTCCTGGTGGTTTCATGTAGATGTTGGAGTGAGGAGAGAACTGAAGCACCCCACATAAAAGGGGCCTAGGACCAGACCTCCCCCCATACCAACACTGACTAGAACCAAATTTGGAAGAAGAGAGCCACTGCAAAACAGTGCCCTCCACTTCTGATCCTCTAACCCAGTCCAAAAGGACTCCATGATCAATGTCATTCAAAGCCACTGAGAGACAGAGCAAGTCTCAGCAAGGATGGATGCACCACTCCCATTCCAAGCCCTCCAGAGGTCATCCACAAATCTGACCAATATTGTCTTGGCACTATAGCCCATCTTGAATCCTGACTGAAAGGGATCTAGATAATCTGCTTCCTCCAGGGCCCTTTAAAGCTGAGTGCTTACCTTCTCAATAACCTTCCCTAAAAAGGGAAGGTTGGAGATTAGAGAAAAGTTATTCAACACAGCTGGATCAAAGTGAAAAAGGAAGGTATAAACACATCAGCTTCTATCTGTAACATGCACATACACGACCCTAAGCCCATCAAGAAAAGCCAAACACATTGATTCCACTTTCAATGAGGGCACCTTATTACTAGACATGTTCCTTGTAGTCCCCAAGCTGATTAAAAAAAAAAGTGTACAACCTCAGGCTGAAAAAGGTAGTGTCTGTCTGTCCGTCTCCCCCTGCTCCTCTGCATTCTCTTGTTTCCACTGCAGACTTTATGCTCACAAATATGCAGGGGGCAATAGTGGGTTTGTTGCACTATTGAAACAATTATTCTTTTCCTGCACGCTGTGGAACTTTGCTTAGAACAGAAAGATGTGTATCTTTGATATCAGTGCAGGGAGTATCCCAAGCACACTATATTACCCTTTAGGCATAAGAGATACAGTACCTAGGGCCCACAAAACTTTTGGGTCCTATGAAAATGTTTAAAATTAAAAGTAAAATGAAAATGTGTACACCCTAATTTAAATATATTTAAGATACTGTTATTACTTTAATATGCAACCTATTCCCTGTGACTTATTGAAGAATATAGGTCCAGGAAATAGCTTTATAATCCTAAGCATCTCAGGTATTACTGCAATGAGGCCCTATGAAGATAAAATGTGCCTAGGGCATACAAACATTAGTGTTAGCCCTGATGTCCAATTCTAATTTGTGGCATTTTCAATTCTTTGCTAACTCCAAAATGCTTTCCTTTTTGATCTTTGCTTTTTCTTCAGTGATGATGCTATACCTTGCACCTCTCCCATGATATGAACATTTCAAAAACAACAATATAAAAATGACAATGAAAATTTTATATGTACATCTTGCAGATATGTGTATAGAGTTACTGAAACCAGATACAACTTATGCTATAATGCAGAAACAGCAAGAATTAATTTCACATAAGGAACACAATGTAAAGCCTTAAAATGCTTCATATTAAGTATAAATATGAAGAAAGAAGAGAGGAATCAGCCTGTCTCAAATGCCTGTTAATCTAGGAAAAAAATGTGTGAATTGGATAATAAAATGCACAAATATCTAATCAAGTCATCCAATTATTATCTGTGGATATATCTCTTAACTTACTATGTAAAATTAGTCGTGCCTTTTATTAACACTTTAAAAAGCTAAGTCATTGTCTAGAATGAACTCAAGTTACGTTAATAAAAATCTATTTTTTTTAAATCTGTTTCCCATATAAGAATAAATCTAAACGTTTTGTCTAAGAATATACTTGCATTATTAGATGAGCCCTGCATTTGTTTACAGCTTAATACCCCTGCCCAGTAAATGAATGACACTACAAGGTCCACCTAGCAGAAATAGGGAGATAAAATTGTAGCCCTTTTGTTCCTTGATTCCACAACACATTTACCTGGGTTAGGGTCATATCAAGCTACACACACAATCTTCTGTTTCCTGGACTATTAACTACATAAGAACTACATATTAACTACATAAGAATTAAATCAGAATAGTAGATACATAGCTATACAGTAATGTATGTTACATGTATGGTTTCCAGATTTTAAAAATGCTGATAGGGAAGATTTCTAATTCTCACTGCTGAGAAGTAAGATAAGTACGAGGTAAACTGAACAGGAAATTAATATTTTTTTTCTGTTGTCCAAAGGTAGGGAATAAATTAAAGAAAAATAAATAATGCTCAAGACAGACAAAAAATTGAAACAGGCCTTGGCAAGGAAAAATTAATCTGTACGCATAAGCCTTTTGTTTTCTTCGCATAACTGGCAATTTTTAGAGAAAAACCTCTGACTTATTGATAGAGCTGGATACAAATGGCCTTTTGAAATTTACCACCAAATATGTAGTCCAAGAAATTGATGGCAATCTGCTGTGCTACCTCATAGTGGTGGTGCTGGTGGAGTTTCTGGGAAGGATCAGTGAAGAATGTTGGGAGTATATGCCAAGAGTATGTATTACCAGCAGCGCCACCCAACGTATGAGGGTTATCCCAGCTGCCCAGCTAAAGCAAGCAGGGACCTATATTGGGGAGCAGTGATATAGGAAGATGCTGGAGATGGACGATCACTTTAGTGACAATGGTAAAGGTGTCAATTAATACTGTGTGGGGGAAGACAAAGGTAAACCGCATTGATTCTCCCTCGGTGGTGACCCAACTGAAAAAGTCTGTGGAGGGGATTTCCCTAATGATATTTTGCCTTGAATTTAATTGAAACATGAGAAGCAATATGATAGACTAAAATGTGGCTGATTATTTTCTATATGTTGTGGAAACACAGACATAGTCATGTACTATATGCTACATATTCAGCTATGTAAGTGGCCTTTTTTACTTCCATGGGATTTTGGCTATCAAACTCCAGAAAAGTATTCTTTTCCCAAAGTTGGTTTCACAATCAAGCAGTGGAATCTGGGTGTGTGAATGCAGGGCAGGACCACAACAAATAATTTCAGCAGAAAAAAAATTGATCTGGAATGAGAAAAATCATGAGCATAAACACTATCCTTGAAGCTTGTATAAAACATAGTACCAAGCCCTGTTCAGTGGGAAAGTGTCAGGTTAGCTCAGTTTATTCAATGTACAGTTGTCCTTATCAAAATACTTCTGTTAATACAACTGATGGACCACTGATGATTAGTAGAGCTTTCCATTGCTGGCTATGCTTAGGTCACTGTAATACAGCAAAGATTTTACCCTTTTTTGGCAGGGGGGCAGGGGAGAGGAACAGGCAATACACTGTGATCACCAAACTTTGATTACCTGACATGTACCCAAATTCTTCTTGGGTGATTTTGTGCAGTTTTTCCTTTTGCATAAATCTTCAGAGAGAATCTTGCCTTTTTTCCATTTCTTTGATCTCTTTTCAAAGTCATGATAGGATTCTTCATTTTCACTGCTATCTGAATAATTTAAGCTGGTAGCCTGTGGATTAAAATTCACATCCAATTCTTCATGTAACTGTGCTTTTTCCTCTCTGTATTTATTGTTGCAAGTTCCTTTCTGTATTCCTAAGAGACTAGATGTTTTAGCCTCCCTTGAAGAATTGACTGGTGATGTTTCTGAATCAGAGTACACTGTCTCATTGGTAAACACCCTAGGTGATAGGGAAGTCACAGACTGGTATAATTCATTGCCATAACTCCATTCGGCATTGTGCTGAGATTCAACATAATTTGAAAGCTGCTGAGGCCTCTGCTGTAGCTTGTTCAAAGCCACATTCCAGTCACAGTTATCTTCGCTATCTGAGCCCATCTCATCATAAGCAGATATAACACTGGATTCTTTCTCCAAAGCTTTGAACACCTGGCTCTTTGGTTTGGCAAGAATTCGAGGACAAGGCAAAATGACATTTTGCAAGGCTACCCAGTTTCCATCTGTACTTTGTAAAACAGGAGGAAAATCTAAGGAAACACAAGAAGAAAATCCAATATCATTATTATTGAATTTTATTAATATAAATGCACTCTTAACTATATTTTGGGCTGTGTTTTTCAATTACTATAAAAAGGAAAGTTTTGGTTATTTTATATCTCATATATTGCAAGGGAATAATAAAGTTCATATGAATTTGTATCACATATATTATGATAATGTACTGTGAAGATGATTAATCACAATTTGATGAGTTTGAAAAGGAGCTGGAGTTTTAATAAATATTTTAAAGGTTTATAAAATAATGGAAATTTTGTTTTGTAATCCACCTGGAGTATTGGATAGATAAAAAGCATAATAATAAATAAATAAATAAATAAATAGTATAATAATAAATACATATTATTAATATAATTAAGATTTTTTTAAAAAAATCTAAAAGTGGTTGTAATGTGTATTTTAAGGATTATATACTGTGCATTAGAAATCTATGGAAACCTGTAATGGGATATATGTTTCTCTACATGTTAGAGCTGGTAGTGCTGACCATGATAAAGTCTAACAATCTGGCACCGCATGGGTATCCAATGCAACAGTGGGAACACCCTCCTGTTTCTTATTAATCTAGACAGATTAACAGCCAAAGATTACTTCTAGGAAAGGGCTATATTTGTTGGATTGGGTAAAAGTCTTGCTATTGATCTACTTATTATCATATCATCTAGTGTCCTTTCATTAGTAGCATTAACAGTTTGGAACTTCACAAATACTGTAGAGGAATGTTGCTGATTTGAATATAAACTTAGTCGTACATAGAGAAGATCAGCTGAAATCAATAAGTCATCCTTGACCAACTGTTCCATTTATCACAGTTGGTTTATATTATGAATAATTAAATCAAGATATAACCAAGAATTTTAGGGAGCTAAAGACCAAGAATGCAAAATTTAAAAGATCTTGAAAATTAAAGCTATAATGTTTATACATGAAATCTTAGTAGGCTTTTATGCATATTTAGTTACATATAGCTATTTTATTTTTGGATCAGTGAAAGCACTGATTCCCAACTGTTTAATATGTTCCTGGAACTCAAAATAATGAACAGTGCTTACACATTTTTAAACAGCATAGAACTATGGATAAAATACAGTAATACCTCGGTTCACGAACGCTTCTGTTCACGAACAATTCGGTTCGCAAACAGCAGCGTTCGCAAAACTTTGCTTCCGTTCGCAAACTCCGCATCGGGTGATGAACACGACCCGCGGCCATCTTCCCTGCTCTGACACATGGTTGTGGCTTCCTCTAGGCGAGATCACGGTCACAGACAGACACTTGCTGTGAAGCTTTTTGGTGTCGCCTCAAGCAGGGTTAGTGTTCTCTCTTCATACTGTACTGTACTGTACTTTGTTTCACATTTTTGTGGTTAAAAAAATAATACATATGGTTCAGAACAGATTAAACTTATTTACATTGAACCTTATGGGGAAATTTGATTCGGTTCGCAACCAATTCGGCTCGCGACCAGAATTGTGGAACGAATTACGTTCGTGAACCGAGGTACCACCGTATATGTAACTACAACAGCCTTTTTTGAAAGCATTTCTTCTAGAGTATAAACAATCAAATGCCATTAAATGGGAATAAAAAATCTGTTGGGATCTCAGTTTGGGTAATACATTAATAAAACAGCCAGAGTCTATTTATCCTCAAGAATAGCTGCTTAATTCAATGGCATTGTAAAATGCTTCAGGAGCCAATTGTTCATGCTGAACTTCTGAAATGTTTTTCCAAGACAAAATCTTTATAAAAGATTACAGCTTGATTAGTTAAATTCACATAAGCATCAACTGCTGCTGCCAGTTCCATCTATCTCTCACAAAAGAGAGGCATAAATTACTTTCTCAGGCTTCAAGCGTAAAAAGCACAGAAACAGTAGCTTAACAATGAAAACAAAACAGATACAACTGCCTCCATGCAGCCAAGGACTAACTCCCTTGGAAGCAGCCTTTGGTATCCATATCTACAGAAGGAAGGAGGGCATATTTATGCAAATGATGCTGCAATTGAACTAGTTACTGAGGTCTAGTCATGAGCACTGGTAAACAGTTTAATCTTGGGACATGTAAGGCTTAACTCTGGTAACAATTATACCTTTTGGTGAAAAAATGATCACTATATTACTATCAGGCTTTTTCTTGTTTGCATATTTAATGATAGGTTATACATAATATAAACTATTGGTTGCAGTTATGACAGAACACATATTCCAATTACTGGTTCAGCATAGAGGTTCTGAACATTTAAAATTTATATTCTTAGAATATTTTATGGAAATGCTGTCCATTGTTTCTCAAAACCTAGTAGCTATTTTAAAAAGAAAATTACAAGGCAGTGACCATTCTTAGTCTGTGGATCACTGCTTTGCCTTATTCATTCATCTTGCTTCCATTCTAAAAGACTATGAAAGTAGCTATTCCATACAGTGCAAAGAAATATCATGCAGATATTATAGGCCTTTACTTGGTTCATTTAATTGGTCCACACTCTTCCAGCTAGGCAATGTAGATAGTTTGTGTTCTTGTTTCTTGATTGGGCCTTTTGGTTCCCTCAAGACAGATTCAAACATGGTAGGTGTGAGAACTGGGTCTCTGGCTGATGTATCTTCATTAGTCAGTGAAAACGCAGATTGGGATCTCTGTTAAAGAAAAATATATATAACTTTATAAAAAGCAAGCCTGGACAGGAACCATTTCTTTAAACTGATTATGTGTTAAGCCATTCTGAAAGCCTTTCTGCCTGTAGAATTAGATTTTTAAAAACTATTTAAATAAAGATTGGGAATATTAACAGACAGAATAACATTCTAACATTAATTTAATGCACTTATTTATTAAATGTATATATTGTTGTAATCTACTAAGGACTCCTGTCATGCACAGCCACAACAGTGCAATAATAAAATATCCATAATATAAATGTGAAACATCCCCAGTAAGTTTACAATAATCAATTAAAAGAAAAAAAAATACTTAAAACATTATAACAGAACCATAAAAAAGAAAATCGTACAACATAAATCACAGAGAGCATCCACCACTGATCTCCAAAGACACTCCAGAAAAGTGCCATCTTCATGAGCTTTCAGAATGCCATCATAGTAAAGTGCAGGCTGTTGTACAAAGCTGAAGCTGCTACAAAGAAACAGGGTCTTCTGGCCTCAGTTTCTTCTTATCAGATTTTTCAGTGTTTATTATAAACTCAGAGTCATTGGATTATCCTTTTATTTTAAAGTATGTTGTCATAATTGTCATCTTTTTGTTCTTGAACTTTGAACTCAACCTGGAAACTACCTATATAATTACTCTAAAAAATATTTAAATGCAACATCCTTCCTCTGGCTTCTTTTTATTCTTTTCTGCATCTTGGCTGTTGGTTAAAAGCTTGACAATAATGGATTCTATCACCAACTAGGAGCTGATCTAATCTCCAGATCATGGGAAATAATGATTTCACTCTACTCCACCTTGGTCAAATCCAATTTGGAGTACTGTGTCCAGTTCAAAAGGACAATGACATAGGAGGACTATCAGGATGATGAAGGGTCTGGAAGCCAAACCCCATGATAAATAGTTAAAGGATCTGGATGGGTTTAGCCAACAGAAAAGATGACTAAGGGAAGGTATATGAGTAGTTTTCAAATATCTGAAGGACTGTCACACAGAAAAGGGAGTGGACTTATTCTCTAATGCCCAAGAGATCAGGACCAGAATCAATGAAAGGAGATTCAGTCAGAGTAACTTTCTGTCTGTACAAGCTGTCAGCCAGTAGAGCAGGTTGTCATATGATGTGAAAACGTCTCTTTCACTAGAGGTCTTCAAGCAAAAGCTATATGGTAATCTGTCAGAGGTGCTCTCGTGGATCCTGTAGTAAGCAGGAGGGTGGACAAGGTGACCTCTATGATCTTTTCCAACTCTACAATACTATATTTAGAAAAATCCCAGTATGTAATTCTCCTGGGATATTCTTTCAGAGAATAGATAATACAGCTGTGCAGTGCTTCATATTCAGCGCATGAGGGACTGATCACACAGCACCTCTCTGTAGCTCCTTACAGCAGCTGCAACTTGCCTGGGATTAGACAGCTATCCTCCAGAACTGCAGCTCAATTCCAGCAAAATATATGTTTACTGTAAGGAGTTGCAGACAAGTGTTATGTGCATGAGCACACACACTCCAAGCACCTTTTTGCCCTCAATTTTAAAGCACTGCCCATGCTAATAGATAACCGAAGACGTAGCAGTTTAAAAATCCGTTTAAAAAAACAACAACTTATATCTGAGAGAAGCCAAGAGTATAAAGTGTAATGAAGGTTTTCTAACATGAGGAAGAGGACAAGATACAGTCTTGAACTAACAAAGCAGAAACTGAATCCTGTGATTCTTCTAAAGCTACAGCTTTGGTTCTTACTCTGTCTACTCCTCTTGCTTGGGCAGAGGGTTCTAGTAGCAGGTTCTACAAATTTTTTTGTTGCTGCTTTCAAAAGGAAAAGAGTTATATTAGCATGCAAAGAATGCTGATATCAGAAGGTAAGAGTAAAGAGATGGTCAGAAGCAGCTTAATGTTACTTTATGGGCTTAATTAAAATGAGATTAAAATGAGATGGTTGTGAGTGTATCCTCAAAAAAAATCTTAGGAAGCTTTTTTTTTTTCCAGCTAATGTCAGCTTTTGCTTCAGGTTGTAAAGCCAATTAATAAGATTATGCTTTATTCTGATAACTCAGAGGGTACCTGAAATTGTTAAAAGTCGGACTCATGGTACAAGTACAGTGGTACCTCGGTTCACGAACTTAATTTGTTCCACGACTCTGGTCGCGAACCGAATTGGTCATGAACCGAATCAAATTTTCCCATAAGGCTCAATGTAAATACGGTTAATCCGTTCTGACCCCTCCAAATTTGGTCGTGACCTGATTTTTGATCGCGTCCCGAATCAAATTTCCCCATAAGGTTCAATGTAATTACGGTTAATCCGTTCTGACCCCTCCAAATTTGGTCGTGACCTGATTTTTGATCGCGTCCCGAATCAAATTTCCCCATAAGGTTCAATGTAATTACGGTTAATCCGTTCTGACCCCTCCAAATTTGGTCGTGACCTGATTTTTGATCGCGTCCCGAATCAAATTTCCCCATAAGGTTCAATGTAATTACGGTTAATCCGTTCTGAACCATATGTTTGTTTTTTTTTAACCGCAAAAATATGACACAAAATACAGTACGAAGAGAGAGAAAGCTAACCTTGCTCGATGCAACTTCTGGCGTGGAGGACAGGAAGGCAGGTTGGGAGGCAGTTACTGCTTGGAGGGAGAGTCCCCCTCCCTACAGGAACCATGACCACATGTCACGGGAGGGAAAATGGCCGCGGATCCTGTTCGTCACCCAATCTGGCATTCGCGAACGGAGGCAAAATTTTGCAAACGGAGCTGTTCGTGAACCAAATTGTTCGTGAACAGAAGCATTTGTGAACCGAGGTACCACTGTATTAGTAAGCCTGAATTTTTTTTTTTTTTTAAAAGTAATGTCCAGTATGAGAACAAAAGAGAAAGGAAGGCTAAATTTGCTGGAGAGGCATTTTAGCACAAATCACTCATTTAGCATTTAGCTGTTTTAAAAGGCTAGTATTTAGTTACACTGATTTTGAAAGTGTGCTCTTGTTATCGACTCTAGAGAACTGCAGTTTCCAGGAAAATTTGGGGGAAGCTGAAACTAAGATATTCCCAACTAGGATAATTGTAAATCAAAGCCATGTAAATACAAAGACTCTAAAACCAACAACATTGTACTTTAGAGCAATGTACATTTCTGTAAATGATCAAGATGGTATCAATTTCAAGATTATGTCATTCTAGTTTAATTAGAAATAAAATGTTTAAAATACAAAGCATATATAAAAATAACTAAAAGTAAAAATTTGTATATCCATGCATACATTATAAAAAGACCTACATATATACAATAGCCATTACAACAATAACCCAGTTTTCAAACAACAAAACTTGTCTGTATAGAATCATATTGATCAGTCTATTTCATTTATAATAGGTCAATTCAAAGGCTGAAAATAAGCATATATCTTCAGTTTAAAAATTTAAACTCTAGAATAGTAGTTTCTACTATAACACACAATCCTATTTTTAGTTATGCACCAAGCTTGATATATCCAAAGTCTTTCATAATGCAATAAATTCCAAGTATTTCATATATAACTCAACTTTATGCTAACAACCTTAAATTTTATTTGTGTTCACAAAGTCATATTAACAATACATTGAATATCAGCCCCCCAAAAGGACTACTACACAGTAATTCTAAATCATGTGTCAAATTCCCTCTGAAAATGAGGGGGCACTTTAAGATCCATGCATGTAGGCACGATATGGTCCAAAGCTGCTGCTGTCCCCTTATTCCCATCAGTGACCTAGGGCTCAACTAAACTGTGCATCCAAGCTGCGGGAACCCTAAGTTCCTTCTGAAATCCAAGAGGGTCCATTAGCACCTGGCATGGACTGAGTGAATAGGTCCTTCCTCCTGTGGTGGTGGGCAGCTTTAAAACTCCAAGGTCAACAGGGAAGGATCTCACCATTACAAGATACTGATGGTAAGATCCCCTAAATTCAAATCATGTCACTACTATCCTGAGACAAAAAACAGATCTATTGTATCACACACACATGTGAGTTGGGTTCTCAGTTATCTGGGTCAGATCCATGGTTGCCATGGCTGCAATGAACCCCTGAGCTGCCTCTGAATCTGCACTAGAGAAGGCAAATTGAAGTTCCTCAATAACATACATTTGGGAAACTCACTGCTATCAGCCACAGTATCAAGCATCTCAGATAGGGAGGCTGCTAAGCAGCAGAGAAGCTGGTACTAGCAGCAATCCCATCAGATCCCTAGAGCCAACTTTATGAACAGAGTCTTGCATCTGGTTAACTGCAGAGCAGTGCCCTGTCCTGGAACCACAGTTCACAAAACCCTGATGACCACATTTCCAAAAAGGCAACATCTCCATAAACATTTTTATTACTTGAAACAATTATTATTATTATTATTATTATTATTATTATTATTATTATTATTATTTGATTTTTAGATTTGTTATAGCCACCCCACTCCAAAAGCCTCTGAATG